AGCGTCTTGAGTTGCCGTTGCATAAGAAATGTGCCAGACATTAGTGAATAAATGAACCCGCCTTTCCTTGAATGTTTGATTCTAGCTCCGTGCGTTGTGGTGTGCAGCGGTGACCCTTTGATTATGTTGGCTCACAGTGTAGTTGTACCGTAAGTCCCTTCTTCCTGCACCCTGCCCTGATGAGCAGACACTCCGACTTGTTGGAGGTAAAAAAGGCAGTCTGGGCCTCAATGTCTGCTCTGCCACAGGCTCTGGCCAGCAAAGTGAGCTCTTTAGCCACCCACTTCTCTCCCTGATGGTTTACACAGGCCAGACTTAGTTGTCATCAGCTCAAAGTAGATAAAAACACAGACTGGGTTTCCAGCCCACCAAGAGATCAAATCTAATTGAATGCATCTGCTTAGTTGGCCTCTTGTAGGGTCTGACAATTAGATTTACATGGAATAAGAGAGCACAAAACCGTATTATTGTGTCTTGTGTATTGTTATTATTATTAGTATTATTGGATACAGCTATGTCCGCTTCACATGGGCTTACAAGCCACCACAAATTCATATAAGCTAGATTCAGAATGCTCTACTAAATAAACTTGTTTGTTCTCTGCAATAACAAACAGGGTTTCTGCAGGCACGGTCAGTTTAGTTTGGTGTATGGCGGTGTTATGTCTTATCCTGACTGAAAGTGTGAAGCTGTGAAAGAGATCAGGGGGGAAACATCTTGTCGCACTTTTCCATTTGTCTATCTGGAGCTTCCAGTCATAAACTCAACTCAAGGCTGATTGTAAATCAGCTCGGATTAGGAGGTTGTCCCGTTTAGGGCTGACAGAGTTGCCCTGTTGACTCTTCATGTCTGAGGTGACCGTGGGCTCTGCAGCATCCCCCCTCAGTTGCGGGGGGATATGCGTGACTTGACTGCTCTGCTGAGTCCCCGATGGCTCTCCTGGACTCTCCATGCCTCTTTAACCCGAAACCTGACCCCCTCAACTACTTTAACTGTTGAGTCTTGAAAACCTCCGTCTTCCTTTGTCGACGGCTCAAATGTCTCTCTGTTTTAGAGTTTATGCCCTCTCTGTTGGCTGGTGTTACTCCTGTGCTTAATTCTCCTCCACAACTTCCTTTTACCTCTAACCAGGTGTCTCACTTTATATACTTCCCTTGGTTTGTGCATAATATTTTAACTTTTTTAGGTTATTTACCTTTTAAATATCCAATAAATGCCAACACCATTTTCCATTTAAACAGTAAACCATTGTTTCAGAGAGAAAAGCAAAAAAATCTCACATTTAAGAGGCTGAAACCAACGAATGTTTTGTATTTTTTAACAATTAATCACTGAATCAAAATGTTTGTTGATGGATTTTCTGTCAGCAGATCTTTTTCCTCCATTATATCGTTTTCCCACGATTTATTTATTATTTTTCTGAACTGATTTGTGTGAAGAGATCTCTACATAAAAAGATTGTTAGTGTAATGGTATTTTAACAAGTTCAACTCTACCACAGTTTTATACAGTGGAGTTTTCATTCTCTGTTTGGAAACTCGGCCTCCTGTCCTGCCTCAAATGGGGGCCTAGTGTTAGGAGTGATAATGGTGATAATATAACCAGTTAATCTGGTTCTGCAGTGTACTGGTGTTGTGTTCTAGCCATATTTTGCTATACACAGCACCAGGGGGCATACACTGACCCTGCCCACCAGCCATTGTCAACGATTTTCTAAGAGGAAAACAATAGCTCAAATGTCAAAGTATGGGAATGGCACCAAATCAAAACAAAGCGCCACATTGAATTCTTTCTGAAGCCAGTCTCAGGCCAAAGAAGAAAGGCCTTGCTGGAGGAGAGAGTATGTGGGCAACATAACAAGCACCAAACATATTTGGCATTTCTGTAGTATTTTACTCCTAAAATGGGCCGATGAATACAAAACTGTGCCACTGCCCCCTCTCCCCCGCATAAAACTACTTCTTTCCAGCTTCTTATAAACACAGGAAGGGCAAGATTGTATCACTGTGGGAGAAAGTGAAATAAAATTAGCTAAATTGGGTTACTTGGCTCAAATTACCCAAATCTAGTCCGAACGGAAACATCCTCTCTGCCTTTTGCCTTGTCGCAGGAGAAAACGCTTCTGAGCCTCTTCTGTCATCGGAGAAATACTTTTTTTACACTCGTAACATTTGTAGCTTCACACATCTGCTCACAGTCCCACCTGTATTTGTTTACATTACCCGAGGCTCTAACTGACAAAGAGCAGAACCGTGTCAAACATCAAAGTCTGGTGTGTGTCCTCGTGGCTCGTAATGGCAAGGAATTTATTGCATTTACTCAGCGTTTACTGAAATTGCACACTTTTTTTCCACTTCTAATTCATGTTTGTATTACTGAAATCTTTTTTAAATCCAATAACAGTGGGCAGGTTTTAACTTAAAACTTTACTTTTGCTCCTTTTGTCTAAATGGATACACATCTCTGTGTGTGTGTGTGTCTGTGTCTGTGTGTCTGTGTGTGTGTGTGTCTGTGTGTCTGTTTTCCAGTAACTCAGAATAAAATGACTACGAAAGGGGACCTTGCTCTTTGCCTTTTTGCCCTACAGTTCTACTCCAGTATGCATGACTGACGAAAAAAACAACAACAACCAAGCTTTGGGTCAAATGATTGAATGAAACAAATGATTCATTATCGAATAGATTAAATTAGAAAGATTTCATTAATCCCCAGTGGGGATTCTCATTTGCCACCAAAAGCAACTTATACACACAACAATAGACGTAGTTTCCACAGTGCACAACACACAGAAGACACACTACAACGAATACATAACACCATAAACACCATAAACACCATAAAATGCCATATGAGACATGAATACCAGATGGTAAATCTAAAAACCACATCTAAAGGTGTTCATTAAAATATCTGACTGCTGCTTGAACAAAGGACCTTCTGAGTCATTCAGCAGAACACTGAGGCATCCTGAGCCGCTCACTGAATGATTAATCTGCCAATTATTTTCTCACTTAACCGATTAGTTGTTGTTTTTTCTATAAAATGTCCAAAAATAATGACAAATGTCCGTCATGGTTCCCCAGAGCCCGAGGAGACATCTCCAAATGTCTTGTTTTGTCCGACCAACAGTCCAAAACCTAAAAATATTCAATTTACAGTGATGTACAGTACGACAATGAATGACATTTGAGAAGCTGGAACCAGCAAATATTTGACATTGTTACTGTAAGCAACAGCTGAACACAATAATAGTCATCAAAATAGTTAATGTCAGTAAAGTAATCTTCTCACTATCGTCTAATTGATTAGTCAAATAATAGTTTCAGCTGTACAGTAAATCGTTTTTTTTCTTCCATAGATTGCATTCATTTAAGTAATATGAATTTGATGAGCCTTAAATGAAAGCTCTTTGAATAAGTGAATGTTTAATATGTCTGTCTTCTTTTGATAATCACCAGCTGGAGGTTATTATTTACTGTACTATAAGTTATCAGTAACCAGTGCCCATTAAAGTAGTGTCCGTTCTATGTTAAAAAATGCTCAGAGAGAGAGACAGATACAGATGTGTTTTATTACGCTTCACTTCCTAGTACGAATGTCCTAAAGACTGTATCGGAGGTGAACGTTCTCCCCGGAGAGACAGAGGAGGAGAAAGCAGCTCGAGGGTCAGACAAGAGAGGAAATTTACTGCTATCAACTACTACTATAAACAGGACACATTCCTCCTGTAATTCTGGACATCTGGTATGCATGTTGCTTCTTTCCTCTGCCCTGCCATGTATTCATAGAGCCGGTTATGTCAAAGGCCCCACATGCAACATCTCTGCACTGTTTCCCACTACGACTATAACTTGGTCAGGCATTGCAATTTTACATTTTTTTAAGTGTTTTTCTTTGTTATCTATCGGCAGTTTAAGGTTGCTGCAAGTTCGCTGTATAATTTGTGATTTCAGAAATAGACTGTTTAATGTGAAATTATTAGTCAACCGTCAAGAAAAGCAGAAGCACAGTTTATTTTTGTTGTACCTCAGTCCCCTTTAGACAACATGATTCATGACGTGCTGATAGAGGGAACGATACCGATGTGGGAAACTTATTTTAAAAACACTTGCATGTGATGTTCCACCCTTAATTTTCAATGGAACAAGTATATTTCATCTATTTTTCCATGCATCAAACACTCCACCAGTGGAGCAATGCTAGTGTGAACATCACGATGTCTGGCCTGGGATGGGTTAACAGGGTGCTGCATTTTTCTAGAGGGGCGGCTGAGTTATAGCTGAAGGTTAAAAGTCAAGCTGACAGGCCGTTTGTGGCCGGGCTGCCGGGGTTCTGTTGATACGGGTGTAAATGAAGGTTCCCAGTGCAAACAATTCCTCATGTCTCTTCAAAGACAAAAACCGCTGAGGTGATCAGTTTCAGGGGCTGGCAAGCTCCCTCATATTGTTGTGCTTCCTCATTTTTAAGATTTCCATGTCAACCCCTGTTGACAAGCTCTTGGCTCAGTCAAGAAAGTTATTCGTCAAAAGCTTGTGTCGTTGAGTTATCTTTTAAATGTTGTCATGAGGTCATAAAACGCTTAAGTGTGTCGGTCTCCAAACACAAATTAGAGCATTTAGGGTTTAATTTGAGCCACAGTAAACTGGCCGCCTCAGGACCTCTAGTGTGGCGTTCAAGTGTTTTCACTTCTGGATTAGATGAGGTCTGGTAATAGGCCCGTAGCCTACTTTGGTTCTGGTTTCTTGTGGTTAAAATCAAGGTACTGAACGATACTGAGACTCAAAAGTGCAGAGGAGATGCGGGCCATCTCCTGCGACAGGATGCTGAGTGTCTGCACAGGAAGTGAGGTCAGGGTGTAAGTCCCCCATATTTTCGGCTCTACTGTTGGCACCAGAGGCCTGTAAAGTGCGAGTCAATGACACACACTCTGACAGAGCTGCTTGAAATAGTCAAATAAACTAATAATAAATAAAGCTAATGCTTCCATCTTCTATTTTCAGAATTCTATGAATCTGCCTCCCGACAAAGCTCGGCTCCTCAGGCAGTATGACAATGAGAAGAAGTGGGACCTGATCTGCGACCAGGTGCATTCAAAAACTCTTATTCGTAAACAACAAAAGCAGCACTCACAATGTACACTAACCTGCTGTCATTACTACTCATTCTGTACCAACACAGTAACGTCAGCAAACTGCACATTACAATGCTGACTATCGTTGTGTATTTTCAGGAGAGGTTTCAGGTGAAGAATCCGCCTCACACCTACATCCAGAAGCTACGAGGATACTTAGACCCCGGAGTCACTCGAAAGGTGGGAGAGTACCGATGTCCTTTCAAATATAGTGTCCACTTAAAGGGGAACTCCACCGATTTTACACATCGCAGTATGTTTTCAGGTGTTGGGGAGTACTTCCGCATTTGTGAAAAAAAGTTTGATAAATCCTTTTGTGGCTGATAAACACTAAGAAGACTGAAGACCACAAGTTTAAAAAATGAAAACATCTGGGTGTCTGTATAAAGAAGTGGGTTACCAGACCTCTGTAGCCCACTCCTCATCTCTGCTTGAGGGTAGCGTCTTGAGGTAATATATGTTAGCCAGTGCTAGCACAGCACAGCACACCCGAATCTTGAAATGAACTATCGCTGGTTGAGTTGCATTCTGGGTCCTGTAGGCACCAATGAAGTATGGACAAGAAAGAAGAATGCATTGATTTTAACACATTTTTATTAAACTGTCTATCATGAATCAATCAAGGTAACAAAAGTGTAATACTAAATCGGTGCTGTTTCAAAAGTAACCTATAAACTCGCACAATGCTATTTCTACAGCTAAACTCTGCTTTCATTGTGTTCCAGAAGTTTCGCAGACGGGTGCAGGAATCTACAAAAGTCTTGAGGGAGCTGGAGATCTCACTGAGGACAAACCACATTGGGTAATCAATACTTATCTCTGAAGTTTTCCACAGATCAGTTTAATGGTTTCACAGACCTGAAGGGAACCACATTATTGTTTTCCCTGGTAAAGAATAGTCCTTTCTGTGCTCCTGCTGCTGCAGGGACCAAGAGCTCTTTCTGGTGCCCAGATATTCCCCATTGTTCTAACTTGCCAAGCACTGCAGCTCCACTTCATAGAGCTGGTCCTCATAATGCCCAGATGGTAGCTATTGTGCTGCCCCGTCCACTCCCCCATAGTGTTGAGCAGGAAGCTTTGTTGTGTGTGCCAGAGGGACAGGAAGCCTGGTTGACCAATGCTGAGCCCAGTGAAAAGCACAACAACACACACACACAAGGATACTTTTATGTTTACACATTTCTCACAGCAAACAATGCTTTTATATTGTTCTGTCATACTTTGTCATGGACAGTTCACTACACAGCTGTGTATGCGGATGTTATGTGAAGCCTTTCTAGTCTTTATCTTCGCTGTCGCAGCCGTGATCCTTGACTTTGTAATCTGATGTCACACAGATACTTTCACATTAAAAATGTGCTGCAGTGACTTGCCACTGAATTCCCAAACTAAAAGAAGCCTGTTAAAAGACTTTGATTTTCCATAGCATTCATTGAGCGCCAAGAATAACTCGTATTGTATTAGGCCTCATCAATAAAGGTCTGTTTCAATGCGTTTCCCAGAAAGACTCGCAGGCAAAGAAAAAAGAAAGCTATTTTCAGAAGACTTTTTTGGATGGGATTAAGTGTATTCAAGGCCGGTTTTGTGCCAGTCTGTTTCCTGGGCCCGTTCCAGAAATTGCCAAGAAAATCTGAAATAGCAACTGGTTGGAGAGGAGTAGAGGGAGGGAGCGAGAGAGGAAGGAGTGAGGGGTCAGAGGCAAGGAAGGGGAGGGAGGGTGATGGTAGACAGGAAACTGATGATCAAGCCTGCCTCCTTGTCCACCCCTCCTCTCCTTTCCTCCTGCACCCATCTTCTTACTGCTTTGTTTGCTTTCCTCAGTTCTTCTCCTCACCTCTCTTCCCTTTCCCTCCCTCCCTCCCTCCGCTACTTTGAGGCTCTGATTGCTTTCCTGCCTGACTCGCTATTGGATGACTTTCATCATAACCAGCACCCCAAGACTATTTTAAGAACCTTTTACCCCAATCCTGTCCCCCCTGGAGTTCTCTGAAGACATGGGGAGGAGGTGAAGGGGGTCTGTGGGGGTCTGTGGGGGAGGCAGACTAAATACTGTTGACTGTCAGAGGTTGACTTGAGCTCAGCTCCTTCAGCCATATGCCCTCCACATTCTTTCACCCATCGTAATGGGAATTCCTTTGTTTAGATTTGTTTCTCCCTCCAAAAAACTGGAGTTAAATGTGGAGTCTGAAGCCTCGCGCTGGTTTACTTTCCATGACATTCCTGCCAAGTTCCTTTCTTCAGGGGAGGGAAGACCCCCCTCAGAGCTGCCTTAAAGGATCATTCTGTTTTAATACAACATGGGTTTTATTTGTTGTTATTATCTCTATCGGTTATGATAACATCTTTCCTGCAATATCGAAGCGAGGTGATATTGCTACAACAATAAATCAGACGCAGGCTGTCCTACGATCAGACAGGTTGTAAACAGGTTAAACGTTTACCCAGATTACAGAAACTATGTTATTCCAGGGAATATTGTGAGCACGCACAACTATGGCGGGTGGATGGATGAATGGACAGTTTGGGCAACAATTTTGCCTTTTATTTTATTTTCCTAATAATTTTGGTTAACCTGGGGGTTTGTTCAAAACCTGTGTAATCATCTGACTGCTTGTGTTTGCTGCCCTGTTTGACTTATTTTTGCAATGTCACAACTTTCCCAGATTTTAATAATTAACTTGGTCAGAAGGTGAAAAAAAGCTTTCAATTGCATATTCTAGAGCACAATGTGATGTCATTTAATGTCTGTTTTTGTCCAACCAACCATTCAATATCCCAATTTATTCAATTTGTTTTAATGAAATACCAAGAATTGCAGCAAATCCCCACATCTGAGAACCTAAAATTACAAACAATTAATCGATTAGTAAATGGAAAAATCAACGAATCACTGCGGCTCTACAGTGAAGCGCAGTAAGTGCCAGGAAAGTCAGGGGAGATATGAACTGAAACATACATGCATATACATGCAAACAAATCTGTGTGAACACGCATATATATATATATATATATATATATATATATATATATATATATATATATATATATATATATCTTCCTCTTCTTGGGCTTCCATTTTGCTACAAATTCCTTGTAATTACTTTTAAAGAACTTATTCTAATATTTTCAATGGATGTTTGTTTGAATCCATTATTTCAAGTCATTACACCTAAAATAAATCAATATTTTAGTCATTATTAATGATGGGGAGGGTGACCAAAACAAGACTTTTATTGATACAACTTTATACAGATCAATTCTTAAACTACAAAAAGTCATTTTAGAAGTCCATTTTCTCTTTGTTTTACTTTGTTTTCCTGCAGAAATGGGTAAAATGTAATCCTACAGGGTAAAAGGATAAGGGTGTGTTCTTGATTTGGTGCCCTGCTAACCTCTCTGTGTTCCCATGCGTCACAGGTGGGTCAGGGAGTTCCTCAATGATGAGAACAGAGGTCTTGACGTCCTGGTGGAGTACCTCTCCTTTGCCCAGTGTGCTGTCATGTAAGTAATTTTATTCAAATAAGCTTTATACACACACACACACACACACACACACATGCACACCCATCATGACCGTGGACAAAAACCTTTCCTAAGGGACTAGGTTGGGCAGTGGATTCAGCTGCTGGGTTAACGCATACTGTCCTGTAGAGCCTGTAATAAACTGCTTGTGCATCTAAAAATTGCTCTTTGCAAATTGCGCTCTTTCAACTGTTTGTTTGCCTTGTTGCATACTTGGCAAACTAAATGTGTTTCTGTGTACGCTATGTGGTGTAGTGCTGAGCTATACCTTGCCTGAATGGGGCAGAATCTCTGTGCTGAGCTTTATCAAGCAGCTCGATGACGGTCCTTGTGATAACCCCTGGCTCTCTACCAAGCTGCCTTGCTGACCTAACCTCCCCCGTTCCTCTCCTCTACACCCCCCGTGCCTCTGTGTTGGCTTGTGTGTCTGTCTGTATGTGGCCCAGGTTGGATTTTGAGGGGCTGGAGAATGGGGAGGATGGCTTCTTGGATAAAGCTAAATCTTGGAGCAGGTCCATAGAGGATCTGCACCATTCCAGCACCCAACCCTTCTGCAACACACTGGTGCGCTCTGCCCGCCAGTCTGTCCTCCGGTACGTATTGCTAAGCTAGCTTCTCCGCTGTTTACCTATCCCCGTTATTGCCGCGCTGTGCTACCTTTAATGCTTCAATCATGTATTAGCATGTAAGCCAGTTGTTTTGGTGCTGTTTTTTATTTTAGGACGATGCCTGAATGGTTGATTAGTTATGTTTTGGTTGACCTCTCTCTTGACCTCAAGGCTCTGCACAAACTCGATAAGATATAGTATCAGAGATAGATACTAAAATCTTTGACCTTTTGCGTTATGAGTCTCTCTTTGTTAATGGTCCTCCCTCATCTGTCCAGATGTGCGTCTGCACTGTCTTCAGATGAAAGCCAGCTGTGAACTACAGCATATGTCGGACAGTTGTCTTCTTCATCACTGAGCCACACGCAGACAAGAGATGAAGAGACAGAAGATGTAAAGTCTGAAAAGAGAAATTTAAAAAGACAAATAGTTCACAAGAAGATTAAGATAGCTGCTGAATATGTATTAGTATAACCTAATGTATAATTTATTATGACATTTGTATGTATATGATTCAGAAATGCTGGATCACTGCAAAAGCTGTTATAAACTGCACAAGAAAAGTGATACTATGTGCACATGATGACTGGGCAATACAGTTACATAATAGCAGTCTGTGTGCAGAGACCTCAGTCTGTTGACAGCAGCAAGGAAACCAGTCATCTCCCATGATGCATCTGTAACCTCAAAAGCCATCTAAGTTTTTTCTCTCAGACCTCGTTCTCTGTAATTTTCTCTCTCTGCCTCTCTCTATGTGACACACTTAAAACAAGAGTCACATGACTATCAGAAAAAACTCCAGAAATAAATGAAACACGCTATTGTTAAACACAAAATCTGAAGTAAAACACTGTGTTTGATTATTAAATCTCTATCAGATATTAACTTCTGCCATCCGTTGCAGCTATGGCACGGTTTCCAACACCAAAACCATCAAGAACTCCCGCCTTGTGAGCCAAAAAGATGATGTGCATGTGTGCATCATGTGCTTGAGAGCTATCATGAATTATCAGGTAACACCAACACTCCACCGCACACAATCTGACAACGATATCTGTTATAAACGTGAGGAATATATGTTTCCTGTGCAGTCAAGTGCATATATTCAAAGGTTTATCTCACCACATCCTGTTCTCTCTCTCTCTCTCTCTCTCTCTCTCTCTCTCTCTCTCTCTCTCTGTCTCTCTGTGTCTCCTTCATGCAGTATGGCTTCAATATGGTCATGTCTCACGCACACGCAGTCAATGAAATTGCTCTCAGCTTGAACAATAAGAACTCACGGTAAGAACGGAGGGCCCCCCGTCTCCATAGACGCAGGGCTGGGTCAAACAATTGGGGAAACCCTGCAGCCAGTTCATATGATATGCCTCTCATTCTCCATGGGGCTCAGCTTCTCTCTGAAGTCGGGGATCAGAGCCGTATATACAGGCTGTTAAGGAATGTTTACTAAAGGAAGATTAGTGGTAAATCGCTAGCACTGATCACTTCATAATGAAGGCTAGGAGGGTACACACTTAAAAAACTATAAAGACCTTCCCTGCTTCACACTTCAGTATGGATTAAAGATTTCAACTCCTGTATATTTATGAGTTTGCCTTCATTTTGAGGACATTCATTCTGGTAGCATAGATAGTATAAATATTGTGCTTTCCCCCCTTTAATCTGAGAGTAAGTGTTTGCAGTTGAACTTCATTCCGGTAATGTATTTTGTGTTTCCTGCACTTCCAGGACGAAAGCTTTGGTCCTTGAGCTGCTGGCTGCCGTCTGTCTCGTCCGAGGAGGTCACGAGATCATCCTTTCAGCATTTGACAACTTCAAAGAGGTGCCTAAAGCAATGTCTTAATGAAACCTGAACTGTTATCATCTAAAGTTGTGCTGCTAATATTTGGTGGTAATACAAGGCTAATAACCTCGTGAGAATTTACTGTGCTAAAAATAATCTAACATTAATTAAATTGCCACCATTTCCCAAATCCCTGGTATGCATGAGGGCATAAAGAAGCAGTGTAGATGAGTGAAAGTGGAGGAGCTCTCATGTCTTCTCAGATTTCATGTCTGCTGAGGTTGTAAGCAAAGCTCTACGGTGGCCTGCGGTGGTCATTAGTCTCATTAAGACACCAGATGTGAGCCAACCTTGAACAATGATAAGGTTCAACTCCCTGGTGGGAGCAAGTTTCTGCCTACTCAGTCATCTAAACACCGGAACAAGACAATTACCTCGCAGTCAAAAAGCCCCAGAGAGACGCAAGAGCGAATCAACCCACTAGTCAAAACAATATGGTGTTTCTGTAGTATTATTTATTTTATATCATACATTAATACAAGCTGACAGGTCTTTGAAATCTCTCAAGAAGGCCACCGATGGTATTCAACCACAGCTGTACAGTAATCAGGTATTAGGTCTACAAATACTACTGTTTCTAGTTAGGATTGTCAGAAATGGGCATGGATTATTTTAATTGTTACAGTGCTGGATAAAGCACCTTTTACAAACATTTGTTTCAGTGTATTTTTGTGCAGGAATTTGGCTAAACAAAGTCGGTCCCATGTCTTTATCTTCCGCTGGCTTTCTTCCCATGAATTATGATAATAGGAAGAGGTTGTTGTTGCAAATAGAGGAAGCTGTCCTCTGTTTACATACAGCTAAGCTCTCCTTTAATCCTGGAATGTGTTTCATCAAAACAAAATACTGTTTTATTATATATATATATATATATATATAACTTTATTTTATTCTTATTGCATCAACTCAAGACACAACAGAACACCCCACGAACATAAAGGGAATATGATCTTCTTCACAAGTAGAAATAGATAATAAAATATAAAAACAATGGTGCCCGTACAGCTGGTGCCCATTTCTTCATAAAAACCTCTGTTTTTAATTAGAGCTTTGCTTTTATCTTCTCCATGGTGCAAAGCAATTTAATGTCTTTTCACAACTGTCAATATGTGGAGGTTGCCCCTTTAAGCAGGAGACTGTGACTATTTCTTAATCATTCATTAATTGTTATCTTTTAAAATTAGACAAGGAGTTTTAAAATAACTCATTTTGACCTTCCATTCAGATTCTCTTCATGTTGGGCTTTTTGTTGTTCTGTGTTAAGTTTTGAATGTTTCCTCCATTTCAACTGAAATGAAAATATCATAAATGAATTTCATTCCTCTGTATTGCTGCACCTTTTGCATTTTAGGTGTGTAAGGAGAAGCATCGCTTTGAGAGACTGATGGATTACTTCCGCTGTGAGGAGGGAAACATCGACTACATGGTAAGATACGCTTTGTATTAAGGATGGATGCTTTTATTTTGGTGTGAATGTGGGTCCATCTTATTATCTATCCAATTGAATATATTTGGTCTAAAATTGATCTAAATCTGTCTGTGGTCCAGGTTGCCTGCATGCAGTTCATCAACATTGTGGTGCACTCGGTGGAGGACATGAACTTCAGAGTCCATCTGCAGTATGAATTCACCAAGCTTGGACTGGATGATTACCTGGAGGTAAGATGACGATGCTGTTGTTAAAATGACCGTTCCAAATAAATATTCTCAGGCTGAGACTATTTGTCCAGTGGGTGAAGAGCATCTCTAATACTGATTCTTTCTCCCTCACGTCAGAAATGTAAACATACAGAGAGTGACAAGCTGTCGGTGCAGATCCAGGCCTACCTGGATAACGTGTTTGACGTGGGTGGTCTGCTGGAAGATGCGGAGACGAAGAATGCTGCTCTGGAGAAGGTGGATGAACTGGAGGAGCACCTGTCCCATGTAAGTGCACCACCTAGTCTGGGCCACCAACACAGCTCTCTGGGCCCGTTTATGAGATTATTGTGATTCACCAGCCGTGTACTTAACTTGGCTGTTTCTACATGCTGATTAAAAAATCTACTCTGTGTTTGCATTTCACAAGTGCGTGAGAATAATGACGGGGTGGAGAACACTGGAGAATACTGTGCGTGAGACAAGCGTAATATTGTTCTTGTGTTGGCTCATTCGTTTTGGGCAGTTGTCTTCGTATCCCACACTGCTTTGCAAAGACATTCTTCTCATAGGAAGGTCATGGGCAGCCCTGACATCACTCTAAGAATTTCATAACAAACTCAGCTCTCAGGAGTCAGGAATGATGGGGGAGGATGAGGGTGAAGAATCCCTGTGAATTCCTATGCAACATGTGTAATCTGTTTGAAAATCAAAACTAAAAGCTGTGTCATGCTCTTGCCGCGTCATGCTTCTTATTTCTTCTGATGATGCACAGTGTATAGGGGAGAGAGTGGGAGGGAGTGGAACTGGGAAAGATGCCCGTGCTGTGGATCAATTCTTGAATTCGTCTCCTCTCATCCCTCTGTTGTTTTATCTCTCCGTCTTCTTTCCCAGGTGACGGAGAAGCTGCTGGAGGTTGAGAATGAAACGATGATGAAAGTAGCTGATCTGGAGAAGGTGCTCCTTCAGAAAGATAAGGACCTGCATGCAATAAGGGTAAGCCGTGAGTCGTAATGATGTAATATCGCTTTGCCTGCCTCGCATCAGAAAGGCTTCACTGTGTCAGCGAAGATCAGTTTCAGATGCATGTAGCTAAATTGCTGTGATAGAAAATTAGGTCACACTTCGTGTATAGTCATTGTGGTGTTCTCTTTATCGCCCCCTGGTGACTCTCCAGGAGACGTACGAGTCGACCAACACCCAGGTCACCACACTGAGGAGGGTAATCAAGGAGAAGGATGCCGCCTTCCAGAGACACTTCAACCTGGAGAGGAGGCTGCTGGAGCTCGAACAACAAGGCACCATCCGTTTGCACAAGAAGGCTGATGGAGATATTGCCATCGAGCCGCTGGGTGTCGGGGGTGGTGTTGGGAGTAGTGGCCTTGGGATACCACAGGGAGACATTAGGCAGCTCTCTTTGGGTTCAACAGCTGGATTCACTGAACCAGGAGGACCAGACACCAGTTTACCACCAGCCAGTGAAGCCCCTCCTCCTCCTCCTCCTCCTCCACCACCTCCTCCTCCTCTTCCCTCAGCCTTAGGTGATGAACCATAACTCACAGTGATTTTTGTCTGGTGACACATATATGTAAAAGCTGAGCTTATTTGATGATAGACCGTCAGAGGAGGTCTATTTTCGTTTCCCCTTCTTTGTTCATCCGTGCCAAGCCAGGTGATGAGTCACAGCAGTGGGTTTCTGCCACAGACAGGAAAGGGAAATGCAAGTTGTTTCCTTTGTGTGTGAGTGTGCAGACAGACTGCAACACGGGAGAAACAGTACCAACTGTTAGAGCAGTTTTCAGCTCTTTTGGCAATTTTTGTTAAAGGAGCAGTGTGTAGAATTAAGGGTGTTCGCAGGCATGGAATATAGTATTCATAACTATGTTTTTAGTAGTATATAATCACCTGAAACTAAGAATCTTTGTGTCTTCCTTACCTAAGAATGAGCCGTTTATGTGTGGGATGGGTGCTATGAGCGGGTCCTCCTCACTGAGTCTGCCATGTTGCACTGCCATGTTTGTACACTGGCCCAAAACGGACAAACTAAACACTGTTTTTTCGTTGCCTAAAGGCCACAGTCATTTTCCGACACGTTTGGAAAGGGATGGGTTAGCAGAGGGGTTTTCAGTCGGTTGCAATTTGCAACCTCCCCTCTAGGTGCCACTAAATCCTACAAACTGCTCCTTAACCAAGAAAGAGCTTCACTAAGATTGAAAATCACCTTTGCTTGAGTGTAGATAACCGCACAGAGGTTATAAAACATATAATACAGGTTCATAGTGAATTAGATTAAATATATAGAGAATAATAAATGATCGAAAAACACAATAGATGAAAGTGATGGTATAGGATTGATACAAAGAGTTTTTGGAAAAGATCACTTTTGTTCAAGTGTTCCAGTAAAAAGCGTTTAACATTTTCTTGTACATTGATTGAAGGCCACTGTGTCCCACCACCGCCACCTCCTCTCGCTCCGCCTCTGCCGGGCACTTCTCCATCAGTTATCCTGAGCGTGGGTCTCTCAGGTGAGAGCCGATATAAAATTACATTATTGTTATGCACCTTCGTACAATTTTGCTTTCTGTTCCACTGCAGCTTAATAGAGCTAAAGATAACACTCATTATAATGCCTTCATAAGGCTTTATAAAACTCTTTATGAATGTTTATAATCATGCAAAACCGATTTTTGCGAATAACACTTTAATTCTCGACTACAGCTATCCGAATCAAGAAGCCCATCAAGACCAAGTTCCGCCTGCCGGTGTTTAACTGGACGGCCTTGAAGCCCAATCAGATCAACGGCACAGTCTTCAACGAGATTGATGATGAACGTGTGCTAGAGGTAAATCAAGCAGATAAAACTGCTAAAATGTCCCTGAACACAGCATTAATATTAAATACCCATGTTAACATTTTGGGGGGGAAAGAACATCCTAATTTGTACTAATTATTTACACTCAAAAGCTCAGGTTAATGGCTAAATTCTGATTGGTGCAAGGAAAAACATGACATCACCCTTTTCCAACTGAGCCCCACCCACATCAAACCAGTCAGAAAAGCACAGAGACAAATCACCGATATCTCTCATGTGAAATGATCAAAACTGCTCTGACTTGGTCAGAACATAGTAGAAGTCCATCCCTCACAGCAAAAGGCTGATTGAGAAAATGTGTTTCCAGGACCTTTTTAATATTAGTTCAGAACAAATAAGTAAACTTTCACTCATGTGCAGGAGCTGGATCTGGAAAAGTTTGAGGAGCTGTTTAAGACCAGAGCCCAGGGTCCCATTGTGGATATTTGCTGCACAAAGAGCAAAGTAGCCCAGAAGGCGGTAAACAAAGTCACCCTTCTGGACTCCAATCGCTCCAAGAACTTGGCCATCACACTGCGAAAGGCTAACAAGAGCACAGAGGAGATCTGCAAAGCAATAGAGAAGTAGGCACTTTTCCTGGATTTCAAATACTTCTGAACTATAGACAAGATGGTAACTAATATATGTTGCGTTTACTCAGGTTTGATCTCAAGGCCTTACCCGTCGACTTTGTGGAGTGTCTGATGCGTTTCCTGCCCACGGAGTGTGAAGTGAAGGTGTTTCGTCAGTACGAGCGTGAGCGGCGTCCACTGGACCAGCTAGCGGAGGAAGATCGGTTCATGATGTTCTTCAGCAAGATTGAGAGGCTCACGCAGAGAATGAACATCATCACCTTTGTTGGGAACTTTTCTGACAACATCAACATGCTCACACCCCAGCTCAATGCAGTCATTGCTGCTTCTGCCTCAGTGAAATCTGCACCAAAGTTGAAAAAAGTGCTTGAGGTAGGAAGTGTTTATTTGACCGGTGTTTTTATATCAGCAGTCTTTGTATTGATTACGCATATTCATTCATTCCTTTGGTGTACTTCTAGATCATCTTAGCCTTGGGGAACTACATGAACAGCAGCAAGCGAGGCTGCGTTTATGGCTTCAAATTACAAAGTCTTGATCTGGTGAGTATTAAAACAAAATAATATGCTACACAGTTCATTTGTGCAGTGCTTTTGCTGATATTCCCATTCATTCCTATTGTTACACAGCTGCTGGACACCAAGTCTACAGACAGGAAGATGACGTTGCTCCACTTCATAGCTCTCACTTTGAAAGAGAAGTACCCTGAACTGGCCAACTTCTACAACGAACTGCACTTTGTGGATAAAGCTGCAGCAGGTGAGCTCAGCATCATGAGGCTATGTTAATAGAAATGTTACTTATGTTCAGTTAAAAAAGAATGTTTTCATAACACTATGCTCATATATACCGTTGTATTGCTGTAAATAAAACATATTCCTTGTTGACTGTACAAAAGTATCTCTGGAAAATGTGCTGCTGGATGTTCGAGAGCTGGGGAAAGGCATGGACCTGATCAGGAGAGAGTGCACTCTCCATGACCATTCAGTCCTGAAAGGCTTCGTCCATGCTAATGACACACAGCTAGACAAGCTGCAGAAGGACGCCAAGACAGCAGAGGTATCAAACACTGTCCTCACCTCTTAACCTCAAAGGGGAGAAAAATGAAAATAGACATGAGAATCTGTCCCAGATTCAGCTCACTGACCTCTAACACACAACCAATCATGACTGACCAGTGTTTACGTACTGTCCTTCCCGTTTCTAGGAAGCCTTCAACAATGTGGTGAACTACTTTGGAGAGAGTGCCAAGACAACTCCGCCCTCTGTGTTCTTCCCCGTGTTTGTGCGCTTTATCAGGGCCTACAAGGTGAGGACACGAAGCAGCATCTTTCCTCACTTCTGCACTGACAGGGTGCAGCTTTCTCTCCTGGTCAGATGGGAAGTTCCCTGGTTTCAGACTTGGATGTTGTCAGTCTCAATGAGAGCAGAACAGGGCAGAGCTTTGGCTGCCTCTGTGCCACAGGACGTGGCGTATAGTCCGAGGCCAAATAACAGGAAAAGCCAGCTGGGTCTGACTCCAGAGCTGCAGCTGTGGTGTTTAGACTGGTTCTTCCCCCTCCCTCTCCCTCCTGTCCCTCATCTCCTTTACCCCCGGACAGACTCGCCCTGGCCCACCACACAGCACATTTCCTGAGATTGTTCTTAGTCTGGATTTATGGGATCTGCTTAAGGAAATGTGCAACAAAAGGATTTCTGTGTCCGTACGTGTGTCTGTATGAGTGACTTAAAGATATAGTTTGACATTTGGACTCCAAGTTGGTCCAGGGGAGAGAGAGGGGAGTAACCCTGGTGAAGAATATGAGGAGTTGAATTGAACCAGAAACATAAAATATTGAACTGGATGTCGAACTATTGCTTTAAAGCCCATTTGCTGTATGTATAAGTAGTTGTCCTGTTTAAATTCCGCTTTTGACCTGTTTTCTTTATCTGCAAAAGGCCACAGTGTGTATTGACTTTGATTTATTTGAGCTTCTGTCTTATGCTGCAGACTGGTCACGTTTTTCTCTTCTCAACAGGATGCAGTGGAACAAAACGAACAACGGAAAAAGCAGGAGGAAGCAATGAGAGAAAAGTTACTGGCTCAGGAGGCTAAACAGCATGACCCCAAGGTGCAGTCAAAGTGCATGCAACTGAGCTGAATGAAGTCTATCAGATGTTTACTCAGTGCTAAATAAAGCTTTGTGGCGTGCCAAAAACCACAGTGAACAGTACAAATATCCTGTCCACTGGTTTACAGGTCCAGGCCCAAAAGAAGAAACAGCAGCAGCACGAGCTGATCACAGAGCTGCGCAAGCGGCAAGCCAAAGACCACCGGCCTGTGTACGAGGGCAAAGATGGCACTATCGAGGACATCATCACAGGTGGGCCAGACAACACCCTAAAAATACCCCATGTGGGTGCCTGTAGCCCTGGTCCTCCCAGGTCGAGGATGACTGTGGTCATTCACTGCTCAGCTCCTTTGAAGTGCACCTTGTGCTACGTAGTCCAGACACCACCACATCTGGAGCACAGCACATAGCAGCACAGCAGCCTCCAGTTATTCCATGAAGTGATGTTTGGTTAGAAATGTACTGCACTAAAGGTGTTTGGCCTCAATATGAAGACACTCAGGCAGTCTGACTCCAAATGTACATTAAATGTAGTGCACATGATCTTTATTTACAGGGTCCTTCTTCAAAGCCACTCTGTGTAGATTATTCTATGAGATTATAGTTTATTTTCAGTATTCGTATGACTGTTTTTGTTTGAAGAAAAATGTTTGGGGACTATGCAAGTGTCTCTTCTGAATATCTACCACCATGTGTCGCCAAAGTCGAGACATTTTAAAATTCCACACATAGGGGCTTTAATTTGATGAAAAAAAAAATCTATCTACAGCCTCAGGATAGCACCAAGCTAACGGATGTTTTTGTCACGATTATTAATCAGTGCTTAAAATATAAATATTATATATGTTGCATTAATGTAATTTTTTTGTAATTAATAATGCTTCTATGCCACTACAGCTTATTATGCAACTGATGTTTTTCCATGATATAACCAGTGTGCTGTAATCCGATAAAGCTTTACTTTAACTCCTCTTATTTAGCATTCATAAGCAGTATACAAACATTTAATACATTGTTTATAACACACTCAAATGTAGATGTATGTAGCTATAAGGACATTTTTTAATTGTTTCTTTATGTGTAGCATTTATCAGCGATCATATCTTCTGTTATGAAGACACATTTTATAACAATTTAGCTATTTGTTTATACAGCAGCCTCCATGTATGGGTGCGCACTGGATAAGTTAGTTATAGTCTTGGACAAATACATTAATTAACACTTATATCAGCTTCCAACTACATCAAAGTGTGTTATAAACCTTCTATTAAACGTTTTTGTAGTGCTTATAAATGCAAAAAAAGGTCAAATGTTGCTAGATTCAGTTAAAAACCTTTTCACATAAAAGGTTTGCTTCCAGAGCTCTGTGCTACATACAGCACAGAAATAGCATAGTTTTCTTTACGGCCTCCTGAAAGAAGTTTGAAGGTGGTCCGGTGGTCCAGTGTCCCCCCCCCCCCCCTCCCAGAAGGGCAGTGTCTCAGGTGTGACATGTTTTCTTTCCCTTACCCTCCTCCCCCAGTACTGAAGAGTGTGCCCTTCACAGCCCGCACTGCTAAACGCGGCTCACGGTTCTTCTGTGAAGCCAACCTCTGTGACGACGCCAACTGCTAGCCCCTCCCCCCTAATGCCAAGGTTATCCAGGTGTCTCTCATACGCCTCCTGACCCCTCTGTGCATGCAGCATGATCCCTGTCACCCACCCAAACCCCCACCAACTACTGTGAACTAACTTGGGCTGTCATTTGGTTGTTTGTTTTCTACTTCAGAGGATTCCTCTTAGGTGATGGGAGTCAGCCAAACCTCTTTGCCTGGCGAAAAAGTTTTATAGTGTGTCGACATATTTTTTGTGTGAAAAATATGTTGATACTCTCACAGTACAATCAGCCATTACTGTGATTACATTATCACCATGCATGACACATGTGGAAGGCTGTGCATTATTACAACATATTTTCACGAAGCTGAATTTAACAATCATAACCTGAAGAGGTTTGGCTAATTTACTGTTTTTTTTTTTATCATCGATGCCTTGTTCCATTAAACTAACCTGTTTGGTGTTTGGTTTCCTGCTAACATGTGACTCTTCTTTCCTCAACCACCACTGTTCATTCTACCCCCTCCAGCTGAAAAGAAGATTAATGACAGTATTTCCCACTCCTAAGAGAGGGTAAGGAAGGTAGCCTGGCTGAAACCTGGCCTGCTTGGCCCTCCAGCTGCTGTGTGCTGCTACAGTGATGTCAGCTGCTTCAGCTAGTGCTTTGGAGGCAAACAAAAAAAAGGCTTCGCAGCACAGAGATTATGCTTTACAACACAATAGTTAGAAAACAAGATTAATTAAGAAGCGACTTACAGAAATACAGTATCACTTGCCTCAACCGCTAGCAATGAAAACATGAATTCACTTATTTAATTTTCCACCAAGTCTTTGCATCAGAGACGAAGTCTTTGTGGTATTTTAAGAACATCATTGTTCAGTTTAAATGCATAGCTATACCATTGAGATCATCATCATCCTCCTCCTCCTCACCCCCTCCAATTATGTGTTGCATGTTGTCCAATGTTCATTTACTCTCACCTGTCGACCACGCCCGCCATGTTTTGTCTTTGCTAACTGTCGTTCGCGGTGTGCTGAACAGCTGTTTGGTCAACAGGCTCTAGAAAAAAACTGTCAGTCAGATATAAATTACATTTTTTTTACAGAGCTGAGAGGTTTTCTGTTACTTTTGTCACAACCAGCTTGACTGTACACAGCAATTTTGTAGAGCTTGTTAACCATTATACTGTAACTGTAATAATTATGGCTATTACCAAAACCTTGACTTTCACTGTTTTGTGTATCACTACTACCAGTTGAAATTCAAGGTTATGGCAATGTGTCAGTCAGTGTTCAGTCTGTATTGTTTATGCCCCTATTTGCCATTTTGATATTTCTTATATACAGTAAACAAAGTAACTGCAGAAGTTATTGCAGATATTTTATGATTATTTGACTGACATGTAGACATGTAAACTCTATTGCCGGTTTATAAGGTACACCTAGCTAAAGCTAATGCAGCCGTCCTACAATTATTCCTATCTTCATGATGGTTATAATTTTCAGTTTTTGTTGATTCAACTTTATGATAATTTTGTATGATGTTTGTGGTGCTGTATTGCATTATACAGAAAGGTGTATTCTCTGACTTTTGTATGACATATTATATTTAGACTTTTTTTATGACATATCCTCTTGACTGTAACAAGACTTTTCTATACATACATATTATACTTTTACTATGACGTAATATACTCTGACTTTTTTATGTCATACTGTACTGAGACTTTGTAAGACATTCTTTTATAAAATACTATACTATGACTTTTTATGACGCTTTCATGACATGTGCTTTAACTTTTTCAAGGCACACTATACCATGACTTTTTTATGACATATTATCTTTGAATTTTTATGACACTCTCTCCTATGACTGTTATGTTTATTCCATACTATACTATGACTTTTTATGAATTCATATGACATACTATACTTTGACTTCTTAATTACTTTTTCCCTGGCATACAAAGTTATGACTTTTTGTGATATATTTCATGACTCACTATATTATGACTTTCTTTAAAACATCAAGTAAATTCTTATAGCTCCACCATCTGGCCAAAGTGCACCACATTCGACACGCCACATCCTTTGGTCCCCAGCAATACACCTGCCTAGTATGAAGGATACAAGATTCTTAAAATATGCTAAGGACATACCCACAGACCGAGATAGAATCCTTGCTTTATAGTTTCATTGGGTGAATGTGGTGATTAGATAATTAGGTGTACCTGATAAACCGGTAATTGAGTGAATGTCTTCTACCTATATGGCTTAACACACTCTTAGCACTGTCTAAGAAAAAATAAGTTAAAGTTAAGTCAAGTAGTAGCAAGTTTGCTTATTGACCTCTGGGTCCTCTAACATGTGTGTCCCCCATCCCCGTCTCTGACCCCTCTCTCCATACCTACTCACAGATCTCCGAAACCAGCCTTTCCTGCGAGCTGATGCGTTGATCCGGAGCGGTTGGAAAAGACCCTAAACCACTTATTGGTCACTTATACTCCCCTCCCCACTATAACCTCCCTCCCTGTGTCTCGATGGTCTATCTCAACCCTGAGGCTGCAGATCACAAAGACTGAAAGGAGGGACAGGACAGAGCCCTTGTTATAGCTGGGTAATTTATTTATTTATGGAGGACCTTTACAGCCACTTTAAGTGAGCAGGCATCATTACAGAAGCACAATGGGTTACTCCTGTCTCACTGCAAACACAAGACTTTCCCTGCCCCGTTTCCACGGAGAACCAGGAGGATAACTACAAAACAGGTGAGGTGAGTTGAGGACCGGCGGGACCACAGAGCAGGAGGAACTTTGCTTTCACAAACAAAGCGGCTGCCAACATGTGGACCTTATTCCCAAAACCGTTAATTTCCTCAGATTATGCAGTCGTAGCAGGACTTAGACTGGAAGTCAGCCAGGGGAAGATGCCATCTCTGCTGCTGGGATGATTGCCATGAAGAGACAAAACCTTCCTCCACATAACAGAGAAGCTTCAATATTATGAGACATTTGGGGACTGTTTCCAAACTTTAAGCAAAGTCAACACATTCAATCAAGACTAAATATTGACTAATTACATTTACACATCAGTTTTTCGGTAGGAAAAAAACCGATTCCGCTGGTTCTTTTGGACAAGCTAGCCAAACCAAAATGTCTCCAATGCCTCATGTTTTGCTTAAGAAGTGCCTTTTTTGTATAAACAGTGTTATTTCTCTTGAAGCAGCCATAATTTGTTCATTCTACAGCTTTCATTTGTTTTTGTTTTTAAAGATTGTATTTTGTAATGCCTTGTTCTATAACAGTAGTCTTATAATACTGACAATATCCAGAAGTTTAAATTTCCAGCTTTAAAGTCACACAACTAGACGGTAAGGGGAATAATGATTTTACGATTACTCTTATTTACCTCTGGTGCATCAGTGTCTAAGCTCATAATGATTTATATTTCTTTGTGCCTTGTCCAAGAAGTTCTTAAAAACGGAATGTTATATGCCTCGACAACACTTTGTCACACCTTAAGGGACATTAGGGAAGAGACAAATGTATGAAGAAGACTCCACATGGACTGCTGATTAGGGGCCAGATGACGTTAACCTGCTATAGATGTGGTTATGGATGAAGGATGTACCCATTTCTATGAGGTCTTATGTTTTAAAATTTCATTTAATCTCCATTTTTAGAGATGAATCTATTTCTCCGAACAGCTGTTGAAACTTGCATAACATTGGCATAAAGGGAGCGATACATCTTTACACTACTTCATTTGGCTCAACATCGTATGAGACACTATTCTTTAAGTATTCATTTATGTACATTCAAATCAAGAAACTTACTTTTTCGAAGAAATTATCCATGATATTGTCTATTGATTGAAAGATGACACTTCTTGTTTAATAAATAAGATGAATAATGTAACTGCAAGACCAAAGACTGTCATTACACCTCAGGAGTATGAAAACAAAGGCTGCTCTTTCTTTGATGAAGCAACATTCAAAACAAGTGATTCCTACATGTTCATGTTTTATTTCAAAGGAAACTTGATGTTCACTTGAGATGTCCTCAGTCAGAAATAATGACTGACTGCTTTTCCCCTCCATCTCTCCAAATGACAGACAGAGCCACTGTACATTTCTACTATAAAAATCCATTTAATTTCTTATATCAAAAAGAAATAGAATCATAACAAAACAATCATAACCACAAATATCCATGTGGGTTTTTGCCACCAAAAGAAATTCTCCAACTGAAAAATGATTGTTCTAATTTACATGGTCAGGTGAAAAGCTAACAGAGCAGGATGTAAAAAAAGACGACGTGATGAATACTGTTAACAAGTGAGGGGCGAAAACAAGAGTTTCTTCTAGGTTGGGTGTGTGAGAGCACTATGCAGAGTGAGCTCAGTTAAAAGCAGCGTGGTGAGCAGTGAGACACTAAAAACCAGTTTGACTGACAGACAGGTGGTTAGCGTTAACAGCATGGCAAAGGAATTAAAGGAATGCTTATCAGGGAGCCGATTAGTCCCCTTCTTGAGAATGCACTTAATGAGCATTAACCTAAATTACACATCCATGTAATTGCATACAATTAAACAAAACAAAAATAAACACAAAAAAAATAAAAAAAATCTCGTACAGAAGTACGTACCATTAAACGGTCTTCCCGGCCTTTCCTGAAAACACATTTACAATCAAAAGACAAGGAACAAAAGCCAGATGCAGATTGTTTTTCAGTGATGACCGGATATTCACAGAAGCTCGCCGTCCCTCAGTAAAAAGAACTTTCTAGAACAGTTTCAAAGCAAAATCTGACTTCTGTCCAGAGTGTCCAGCAGTAGACTAAACCAAGGCCACAGATATCCATCCCAGACTTTTCATCCTGGAATGTGGACTTTGTTACAATCATCTTCATCCAGCACACTCGCACACTGCCACAGACTCATTGCCGACACAAAGAATGTCAATTACACAAAGACTTAAAAAAAACTTAAGTACAGACTGCTATTTGTTACTGATGTTTGTATTCCTGGGTATATTTTCAAGACACTTTGTTAATAGGTTTATATATATGCAAATATATATATAAATTTAGTCTGTGCAAGGAGTTAAAAGACAATCACTTGAATGTAGTTCTTTGAGACAACAGAACAAACACCGTCTGATGCAGAGTCCTCCATGTGTACGCTCCCAGCCTCGGTCTCCCTTTAGACATCCAGCAGCAAACGTACATGTACACATGAGAAAGACTGAGCCGAACCAGCATCCAGGAAGCATTCATAGTGAGCACTGGCACTTCTCTCTTTCATGAACAACAAAGACTTGGCAACGTTTTCTAAGGTGGAACAATAATATTTTTTCCTTCCCTATACCCTATAATTCATACAAAAATAAAAAATTCAAATTGTTCCACTGCCATTTGTATGTCTCTATCTTTTACATTTGCACAGAGGTAGTGGCTATATGCGTGAGAGGGGAGGGAGAGTTGTGAGGAGGAGGTGAGCAAAATTAAAAAGAACTGAATAAATGTCTATAAAATGGTTCCTTTCCATCACCAGAGAATTTTTTTTTTTTTGTCAAAGAACAAAATATAATACTGCAATCACTTAAAAAAAGTAGTCCTTCATTTTATACATTTTATACAATGTTCTTTTTTTTTTGTTGCTTTTCTTTTCACTCGGTAAAGGCATAAGATGAGAGATCTCATTGGCTCAGCACTGGGTTGGGCGGGGCAATGTTGGCAGAGTTCAATCCATGCCAAGCTCTACGCCAGCGGGTCACTCATATCCTCGTCGCCCTGGGAGAGAAGCTCCTTCTTTTCATCTGTGCTGGCCAGAGAGTTGCGGCTGTTCTGGGCGCCCATGTACAGGGTGGCATACACTGGGTTGGTGAAGTTGGTCGGCTGCAGAGCAAAGAAAATTACATGGTGACTCAAAGGGAAAGAGAAAGGCGGATATTTGTTAAATGTGAAACCGGTATTTACTGCATGTTGTGCTTACAAAGGTCAGGTCACTAAAATATAATAAAAAAGACATTTTGTCACTTACAATGGTCAGTTCATCCAAATAATTACAACCAATCATTCCATTTCCGTTACCACTAGAACCCATGGGATAGTTGTGGTTTGTAATTTAGGTTGATATGTCCTATAGTGTTTATAATGTAGTATTGTGTATTGGCCTGCTCTGGGACATTGTTTTAGGTGGCAGAAGTTTTCTAATATAGGTGGATGAAACTTAAACTATCTGTATGGCTATTTAACACTAGGAGTAAGTGAGAAGAGATGTTTTCTGTGAACACATTGTTTATATAAAAACGCTTTAATCTGTGTTACCTTGTCTGGGTCCAAAGCGTAGTCTGAATCCAGGAGCTCCCCAGCGTCATCGTCAGGGTCTCCTTCATAGATCTTATAGGCAGGGTTCCCAATCTCAACATTCATGGCTCCATTTGTCATTCGGTGGTGCTGGAAGCCCTTTGCACTGCAGACAGATAAAGATAAATAAACTGATGAACTATCAAAGCTATTAACTAGAAGATCATGACCTATATTTTGAGAGAAACCTTAAATTAAAAAAAAAAAATCACAGAGGCTTGAAAAATATCACAACGTGGCATAAAACAGGTACTGACTCAACAGCAATGTACAATTCACACAATCACGACAACATATATTAAAGGTTGTCAAATAAGCTTTTCACAAAAGCTCATTTGATCAAACCCAGAGAATATATACGGCAGCATGTCTAGAGTGGAGAATGCTGAATTTTCACATTGCAAATATTCGGTTGTTTGCAAGCACATAAACATTTTTCATAGATGCACACTTGTATATTTTAGTATTCAAGCACATAGAGTAAGCCTAACATTTACACATGTAAAAAGGGAAGGTATGGAGATGCAACACGGACATAACAGTTTGATTGTTTGTGCATTACCAGCAAAACTACTTTGGCTAAGATTAAATATGTCCCCGTGTTTGCCGGTTGGGAAACCCAGTGGGAGGCAAACAGGAGATGGCAGGCAATTACAAACAGATTTCTACATTGACCAACAGATTGGACAAATAGACTGACAAACAGATTGGCCAATCTGACTGGATATTAGGGAAGGGGTGGGGTCAACAGATGAATTATGTAACCCTATGAAGTTACCGCGAGCACTGAGAACGAGATTTGCCCGGCCATAGAGACCTGGGAAACAGGAAATAGATGGTTATCAAAAGGTAAGAGAGAAAGAGAGGCGAGATTTCTAATAGTGTGAGGAAAAGATGAAAAAATGGAGTAAAGATCGAAACTCTCTGAAACCAGGACTCACCCACGCATTCTCCTCTTGTACCACAAGATGGCACCAACGACCAGAAGTGCCAGTAACAGCAGGAGAAGCACTGGGATGATGATGGAGGCAGTACCTGCAAGTGAGCAAATAATGTGAGCAAATAGGACCAAAGTGCATGTTTTACTAACAAGATTCTCTAAACTGTGTGACTTACTTCCACTGGAAGTAGAAGCATCCATAGAAGCTGCTGCAATCTCACATCTGTATCCCCTCCATCCCACAGGACACCTGGACACACACAATGGAACAGAGTTAGAAAGTGTGCAAGTTTTTTGATGGTTCCTCTATTGCCCCAGTAATCAATATCAATAGTATATATTCTGTATCATAGATAATATTATAGTCAGGGAGAGGAAGAGAGTGTGATGTCTCTTTAGTAATAAAATCATCTGATAATATTTTGTTATTTCCATTCATTCAGTCACAAGAGGCTATAATAGCAACAGCATATGTATTCTTGAGTTATGGCCAAACGAGTGTTTTGTGAGGTCACGGGCCTTGATCTTTGACCAACACTAATCAGTTCATCCTTGAGTCAAAGTGGACGAGTGTGCCAAATTTGAGTACAGACGAAACGTAAACATAATGCGTCCGGCAAAAGCTTTCACCAGCATAGAGGTCTGAAAATATCAGAGTATGATTTAAAAATCCCAGGATAGAATGACGTTAAAAATACATAGTATGTCATGGAAGTATAGCGTGTCGAAAAAAGTCATAGAAATTTGCATAGTATAGTCTGCCAAAAAGATCATACAAATATATAGTATAAATATAAAGTATATAGTATAGTATGCCATAAAGAAGTCATAGTATAGTATATCATAAAAACGTCAGTGTAGTATGCCATTTGAAATAAGTGTATTGATGTGTGGGGTTGAGATGGGCGTGGGTGTCATATCTTACTTGCACTGAGGCAGCAGGGTGCGAGTGTCAACTGAACATTGTCCATTTGAGCAGTAGTCCAAACAGGAATAGCAGCTGGGTTGGGTCTGACCGTTGGGGCAGCTACACACACACACACACACACACACAAAAAATAATTGTGTTGCTTGATAATATATAACAATAATAATAAGATATATGTGTGGCCTTGCCCGCATGGTACTGAGCAGTCCAAAATAAAAATTTACAAATATTTCAAATTTCAAGTCAAATTTATTTTGTGCAAGTTTTGTGCATGTTGTCCACAGTGTACCCACCTGCATGAAACCTCGCCTGAGGATGACGTCAAACACTTGCCCGCTCCACAGAACAGACATTTGTCCAACTCACATTGGTATCCAATGTACTGAGTGGTGCACAGACAGATTTTAGTGCCGTTGGAGGTTTGTAAGCAGGTTCCAGCGTTGTGACAGGACCCTTCACAATTAGCTGAGGACGGGAAGGAAGACGTGCGATAAGTGCAAAGAACTCAACTGTCATAGATTCACATGTTGTTCCATAGGATTGTATTAGTAGTGGGGCTTTTTTTCTTCCCTAGAACAATCAAAGATAACATTGTAAAAGTTGATAATAATTTTGTGAGAAAATGCGCCATTGTAGACTCGTCATTTTTTGTAAAGTAAAAGGTAAAGCAAAGCAATGAAATATATC